ATCGGGTTGGATCGCAGTCCAGGGCCGATTAGAATTAGATCAGATGGATCGACGTTTCAAGATATTTTCAGGCGTTTTCCCAAATATGATTTGAATGCATGCTTCTAGGTACTTTTTGCATCAATTTACTTGATTTGTAGTGTAACTTGAAACTACTACCGCATAAAAGTTCTCAGTCTCATGATTTTAAACCAATCACGACACAAGATCAGACATAACGTGAAAACAAAATAAACTCCCGGGTTTTTTTCAAAAAATCGCCCATAACTCAAGATTTTGCCTATAAAACCACCTTCTGCGTCTTAACAAAAAACATTTTTTGTAATATTTTGTTATATGCAGTGTCCTTTCTAATGTCCTCCTAATGTTCATCCTTACTATTAGGACCGACAATCATCAGGTAAATCAGGTGTAACGTGAAAATCATGCGGTTTTTAAACAAACCGCCCGTAACTCAAATTTTCACCTATGTAACCACCTTCTGCGTACTAATGAAAAAATTCTTTGCAAAAATTTGGTATAGGATAGGCCCGTTGTAACTGTAAACCTGAGCCTAATGTAATGTTTTATGATTTTGTTTTGAAATGTCGATCAGTGAAAATCCGCCGATGGTGCCACTGGGTAATTGGGTAACCCGTGGGTCAACCCGCGGGTTACCTGTAGATTAATCCATACGAGTATTTTTTTTTTTTTGTTTAGAATTAATGTTTTTATAATTCCTGAAATTATTACAAATAATATGTAAAAAACAATTGCAAAAGAATTATAAGGTTTTAATCCTTTTTTTTTTGTATTATTTTTAAATATGTAATTTGTCTATCGACTATATATAACTTTATGCAATAATGATATTAAAATCCGGGTGCCGGTCAAAATCCCGACAGGCACAATCCCGACATAGGTCATAATGCGACAACAAAATCCCGACAGTCAAAATCCAGACAATTAAAACAGAATTTTCAAGTAGAAAATCCCAAATATAGGTATGTTTAAAGCGAAGTAGACTCATAATTTAATTAACTTCAGGGTTAGGTTAGCTATGGTTTATGATATTTTTTATCGGATTTTTGGCCATCGGAATTTTTGCTGTCGGATTTTTTTTGTACCTGTCGGGATTTCGCTTGTCGGGATTTTGACCCAATTCATGATATATATGCATGTATAAATTTTCTTTAAAATACTGCTGCTATGTATATCTTGTCGAATAAGTTCATGGGTGTGAATTAAACTCTTGACAAGGTAATTTCAGTAATTTTTTATAAAGTTTAAATAGATTTATTTAAAGGTTTTTCACGTGACATTGCCATTTGTTATTTTTTAAAAGTTCGTAGTCGTAGGTCATAATTACGTTAAATCATTTTAAATCATTTTTAACAGATTTAAATCAAACAATCATTATTTTTAAGATTGTGTTTTAAAACATTTGCCATCCTTATCTATAAACATCGAGATTTCCAGCCCAATATTTTAATAATCTCATTTTTTTCAATTTTAACCACTTATCATTCATCAAATTTTCTTGCAAAATTTCTTTAACTACTCTAACAGCAGAATTTAAAGCACCAATAATCCAAGGACCATGTACATCAGTATGTTCACCGGCCCAATGTATAAAATCTTCAGGTCTCATCATCGCTCCTATCAAAAATTCTAATTGTCCAGCTCCATATAAAGTAAAAGCACCCCCAACAACGGTTTTATCATTTGACAAATAATGGGCCTTATTATTCTTTTTACCAGGAATCCATTCTTTTCTTGCTATTTTTCCATGAATAGTCACTATATCTTTTAAAGCAAATTCAAAAAGTTCTTCCTCAGTATATGGAGCAAATTTTGCAGCGTCGTTACCCCACGTATAGGAAGCTAATAGAACACCAGATTCATTTGCCGGTAGACCTTGATAATATGAAGGGTAGATTATAGTACGAATAGGAAGGTCAGTTGACGAAGCTCCGCCAACAATACCAACATTGGAGGTCGTCTGCAAACCACCAGTTTCGAGAGGAGATTTTTCCCAGAAACGAGTCTTAAATTGTAGAAATATTTTTGCA